AGCCCGATGCGGGACTTGATCCCAGGACTCTGGGATCATGACCTGAGCTGAAGGCAGCTGCTTCACTGAATGAGCCACCCAGGCGCCCCAAAACCGATCTTCTTAATCAGTGGTCTGCGCAGCCTGGCCTGGCCCGGCCCACCCAGGGGGAGGGTCAAGCTGCCGGTGGCCCAGGGAACCTGGTGTGGGGCAGCCACCAGGCGTGGGTCCCCATGCTCACGTGGTACGTGGCCACCAGGTGCACCGGGACTTCCGCCTGTGGCTCACCAGCCTGCCCAGCAACAAGTTCCCAGTGTCCATCCTGCAGAATGGCTCCAAGATGACCATTGAGCCGCCACGTGGCGTCAAGGCCAACCTGCTCAAGTCTTACAGCAGCCTGAGCGACAACTTCCTCAACTCCTGCCACAAGGTGAAGTGCAGGGATGCACGCTTCCCGCCCCCCCCCACTGCCTCAGCCTGGGCCCGCCCCTCACTCCCTGCCCCCTGCCTCTTGCAGGTGTTGGAGTTCAAGTCCCTGCTGCTGTCTCTGTGCCTGTTCCACGGGAATGCGCTGGAGCGCCGCAAGTTTGGGCCCCTGGGCTTCAACATCCCCTACGAGTTCACAGACGGGGACCTGCGCATCTGTATCAGCCAGCTCAAGATGTTCCTGGACGAGTATGACGACATCCCCTACAAGGTGGGCCAGGGACAGGCTGAGGCGGGGCGCTGGGCGCTTGTGGGGGCCCTCACCCACCCACCCCGTAGGTCCTCAAGTACACAGCCGGGGAGATCAACTACGGGGGCCGTGTCACGGATGACTGGGACCGTCGCTGCATCATGAACATCCTGGAGGACTACTACAGCCCCTCCGTGCTCTTCCACGATCACAGCTACAGCGCCTCGGGCATCTACCACCAGATCCAGCCTACCTACGACCTCAACGTGAGCGCGCCCCCCCGACGGCCGCGGGCAGCCAGCCAGGCTGGGTTGCGGGGGGTGCCATGAACACCTGGGAGCTGGGTGAGAGGAGGCGTGGCCCCGGCCCCCCAGCCGCTGCTGTTCATGGATTACTCCCTCCCACAAAGAGAGCCACAGGCAGGGAGGCGGACCCAGTCCCTGCCCCCTGGAGCTCGGGCTCTGTGGGGAGAGGCGACGTCTGGCTGCTCAGCTGCTGCCTGAGTGTAATTACTCAGTTGAGGCAGGGCAGCCTCTCCAAGGGTCCCAGAGGAAATGGTGCTTCGGCTAAGACGTGTGCAGGGAGGCTGCAGGGCCGGGGTGTGTGTCGGAGTGTGGGTCACGATTGTAAGGAGGGGAGCGTCACTGATTGGAGCGGCTGAATGAAGGAGCCGGGGCGGGGGGGGGCAGGATGCCAGCAGGCAGAGGGCTGGGAGGGAAGCGAGGGCTCCCCACACAGCGCCTCAGAAGCCATGCAGCTCTAAGAGGGAGATGCGTAAGGGTTCCAAGTCGGGGAGGCAAGTGGGAGTTGTGCCCAATTGGAGGACCCCCCACAGGCTGGGGGTAGAGCGAGGTTTCAGTTGTGGCCCTCCTACCCTCCAGGGCTACCTCTCCTACATCAAAGGCCTCCCTCTCAATGACATGCCTGAGATCTTTGGCCTGCACGACAATGCCAACATCACCTTCGCCCAGAATGAGACTTACGGCCTGCTCGGTGCCATCATCCAGCTGCAGCCCAAATCATCCTCTGTGGGCGGCCAGGGCCGGGAGGAGGTAGGTGGCATCAGGGGAAAAGGACGCACGCGTTGGGCAGGGCCAGTCTCCCACCCACTATCCCGCCTGCTCCCCCGTGGGAAGGAACTCTGTGCATGTGGAATCCTGCAGGAATTAAGGCGTGCTGGCCCTGACCCCCCGCGTGTCCCTTTGCCCCCACAGATAGTGGAGGATGTGGCCCACAATATTCTGCTCCAGATTCCTGAGCCCATCAACTTGCAGCTGGTGATGGCCAAGTACCCCGTGCTGTATGAGGAGTCAATGAACACAGTGCTAGTACAGGAGGTCATTCGGTAATCCCCCTGCCACCCCCAGCCCTGACTTATTACAGAGAGTTATTATTAAAGAGAAATGTCAGCAAAAGCTACTCTGGGCCGGGCGCCGTGCCGCGTCTATGCTCTAACCCAGCTACGTTTTATTGTTCCCACTTCACAGATGAGTACACCAAGGCCCGAAACGGTGAAGTGACCTAAGGTTACATGTTTGCTAAGGTGCAGAGCTGAGATTAGTACCTAGGCTGCCCGACTCAGCTCCATGCTCTTAGCCCCCACGTTGGGCCACTGTTTTTCTGTCTATGGCCTACAAGTGGGGAGTACAGATACTGCTGTAGAACCCCCAGCCACTGCTTGCTTCCTTGCCGCTGGCTCCACAGGTACAACCGGCTGCTGCAGGTGATCACAGAGACGCTGCGAGACCTGCTCAAGGCACTCAAGGGGCTGGTGGTGATGTCCTCACAGCTGGAGCTGATGGCCACCAGCCTGTACAACAACATTGTGCCTGAGCTCTGGAACGCGAAGGCCTACCCATCGCTCAAGCCGCTGTCCTCATGGGTCATGGACCTGATGCAGCGCCTGGACTTCCTGCAGGCCTGGATCCAAGGGGGCATCCCAGCTGTCTTCTGGATCAGTGGCTTCTTCTTCCCCCAGGCCTTCCTGACAGGCACGCTGCAGAACTTTGCCCGCAAGTCTGTCATCTCCATTGACACCATCTCGTTTGATTTCAAGGTTTGCACACAGCCAAAGTCAGGCCAGGGTCAGGCTGGAGTATGGCCTGGGTCAGGCCCCCAGTACTTACAGGCGCCAGGCAGGAGGGGCGCTGAGGCCACAGCTGGCTGCCAGTTGAGGGTCCTGAGTGGGTCTTGGGGGGCAGGGAGAGCCAAGCCAGAAGTGGCTATGAGCCCCTAGGAAATCCCTAGGGACTGGACACAGACCGCAGGCTGCCAACTAAAATGGTGGGTGAGTGGGTTGCCTGGGTGGCCCAGTCGGTTAAGCATCTGCCTTCGGCTCAGGTCATGATCCTGGGCTGCTGGGATCGAGCCCTGCATCGGGCTCCCTGCTCAGTGGGAAGTCTGCTTCTCCCTCTCCCTCTGCCCCTCACCCTGCTCGTGTTCTATCTCTCATTCTCAAATAAATAAATAAAAATCTTAGAAAAGCAGATAAATAAAATGGTGGGTGAGTAATGGGCGGGTGGGCAGGACTCTCAGGAGGGAGTTTGTGCCTCTTGAGCCCAGTCCACGTGCGGGGGCATGTCTGTGCGCCCACCACAGGTAATGCAGCAGTCAGTGCCAGAGCTCAAGAAAAGGCCCAGTGAGGGGTGCTACATCCATGGACTATTCCTGGAAGGTGCCCGCTGGGACCCTGCAGCCTTCCAGCTGGCTGAATCTCGGCCCAAGGAGCTATACACAGAGATGGCTGTTATCTGGCTTCTGCCGACACAGAACCGCAAGATCCAGAACCAGGACTTCTACCTGTGCCCCATCTACAAGACGCTGACCCGAGCGGGTACGGGCCCAGGGTGGGGAACCTGCACCATGGGTGGGGGCCCAGGACTGGGCTAGCCTAACTGGTCAGGTTAGCTGAACAGAATGGCTGAGAGAGGCCGGTCAGCCCTCCTGAGAGTGAGCAGGCCAGGCCAGAGCTGGACCACCAGCAGGCAGGGAGGGTAATGCCCAGAGCTTGGGCTCAGCCTGTGGTAAGTGGCCCCTGAGCTCCCCATCCTCTTGCCTCCCTCAGCAGACCCACCTGGGTCTTGGGAGCTCCAGTATGCTAATGAAGGTTCAGAGTAGGTAAGGGAGACTTGGCGGGGAGGTGGGCCTGTGCTGGGTCCAACAGGGAATGAGCAGTGGCCCCAACTCTCCCATTCCTGGCAGGCCTGAGCCTTGGCTGGACCCATTCACCAGGCAGGTTTCCTCTCGGGTCAGGGCCCCTGCTTGCCACCGTCTCAATCTGCTGAGTCCATTGCCTTTACCCTGTTCCTACTCTTGTGACAGACAACCCTCCCTTCTTGTCTGCTCCAGGAACACTATCGACCACAGGCCACTCCACCAACTACATCATTGCCGTGGAGCTCCCCTCCGATCAGCCCCAGCGACACTGGATAAAGCGCGGTGTGGCTCTCATCTGTGCCCTGGACTACTAGACTCAAGACAGAAGAGCTGGGGCCATTAAAGCCGTTTTCTAAGCAGTCCAGCTGGGCCCCCGCTGCTCATGTCTGTGCCCCTCCACAGGATTCACTGCCGGGGCAGCAGTGGGGGTGAGGGGCTGCGGCGGCCTCGGGAGTGAGGGTGCTTAGCAGCTTTGGCCTGCTGGACCTGTCCAAATGCAACAAGGGTAGAGCTGCGCCCTCCAAGGGGACCCCTCCAGGGACAGTGCATTGGGCAAGACTAGAGGCTACCTCGCCTCCTCAGCCCAGAGCCCCGGCATCTGTTCAGGTAGCAACGCCCTCAGAACCGGATGAAAGCCAGGTCTCTCTCCTCCCAAAGTGTCCTCTTCAGGCTCCACAGCCCATCCAAAGCCCCTCCTCAGCTCAGGTCCTAAATCCTGGGTCTAGGGTCCCAAGAATCTCTGCCCCAGAAGGATGGATGCCTGAGAATGTGTACTTCTCACCCCTCGGGTCACAGGCTCTTGGGCCCAGGTTTGGTTAGGTCCTCCCTCTCACCACAACCTAGCCTATAAATCTTAGGCCAGCAACCACAGGAGAGTTCATTTCTTAGGAGAGTTTTATTCACTGATCCAATATTTACAGGGGCCAGAGAAGTCAGGCTGTGCTCAGCACAGAGAGGTGGCTTCTATGCTGGCCAGCCATCCCCTGCCCCAGTCACTATGTACAGATAAGGGGCCTGCTTAGATCACCTTCAAAGCCATCTGGCAGAGTCCATGGGGCTCTGTTTGGGGCCTGAGCTCCAGAGACAGTGCTGGGCCCATTGCCCCTTGGCATTAGGCCCTCTGGGAACACTGGGGCTCCAACTGGTTGTCTTAGTCCTGCTGTCCCCCACCCTGAGTGCCTTGCAGAGGCTGAAGAAGCTGGCGTGGCACGGAGAGCCAAGGGGTGTCAGCTTCCTGCAAGCAGCCCTGTCTCCACTATCCCTAAGAGGAGGGAGACACGGTAATACTGAGGGGCTGGGCAGGGGCCCCCCTGAACCCCAGGCTCCAGGGTCAGAGCCCAGGAGCCCAAGGCAGGCCCATTGCCAGGGCCCCAACACTGAAGGCAAAGAGCCCCAGAGCCTTGCTGCAGACAGCAGTCTTGACAAGCACGGCTAAAGCCAGGAAGGGAGTTTACAGGCCAATAAACAGCTTAAATACTTCTCTCTGCTCAGGCCGTGGGACCCCAGCGGGCTGCTCATTCCACCCTTACTAGGACACCCCACTCCCAATCCAGCCCAGCAGCCGGGTCCCTGAGTTTGGAGCTCTCCCGGGAGGAAGAACAGACCTGGCTTCCTCACCACAGGGACGACTGGTGGCTGGGGCTAGAGCGCAGGGCCCAAATGCCCACCCAGGCCCCCAGCTGGGACCCTGCAGTCATGACTCCAGCATGACGCAGGGACCTGGGCCCACCAGGATGACAAGTGTTGGAAAGAATGCAGTCAGGAAGCTGGCTATGTCAACACAGTGGTGGCAAGATGGGCTAGAGCCCAGAAAAATAGACGTCTCTGTAGGTAAAATATATACTCTGCTGAAGGCAGAAAGGCCAGGTCCTGGCACTCCACAGCCAGCTGTGGAGGAAGCCGCAGCACCTCACCGTGCCCCCGCTCCACCTGCTGCCCCCAGAGCACTATGGGGCTGCCCTGCCCTGCCCAGCCCTGGGGCACAGTGCACGGACTCCAGCCTGGCTCCCGCTGCCAGGGGTTGGGCTCTCTGGCTGCAACTTTTCAGTAATACTGGGAAGAGAGGGAGTGGGGTGGGGAAGGGGCCCCGGGGGGGGCCATGCGGCAAGAGCAGCTGCAGAGTGCGGGCCAGCAGTCCTCACTGGCGCTTGGCCTTGTAAGGGCGCGAGCGTTTCCGCCGGTCAGGCTTCCGCTGCTTGTGGAGCCGGCCGATGCTGACCCCTTGGCGCCGCCGCACCGAGATGTTCTGCTCCACCAGGTTGGCCAGCATGCCTGCGAAGAGGCCGAGGCCCTTGAGCAGGTGGCTGGACACGCAGCAGCCCCCCGCTCCATGGGCCACAGCCTCAGGCCAGGAGCGGAGGCTCTCCCGGCCCTCCCTGGGCCCCCCAGTCTGCTCAAGCCCCAAGACAGGCCTGAGGGACATGGCCCCCGGCAGGGCATGCCAGGTCAGCTGCGGCGGTAAGTGCCCTCACCTTCCTGGGCCAGCATGGAGATGAAGGTGCAGATGAACTCGTCGTAGTTGTGGGTCCTTCTCTGGTCGTCGATCTGCGGGAGAGAAGGATGAGAGCACCGCAAGCCCAGCTCCCCAGAGCAGCCACCAGCTGGCCTCGGGAGGTCCCACATCTGGGAAGACGGACAGAGGACCAGCCGCTGGAGGGATGACCCACCTTGAACTTCTTCCTCTTCTCCACCTCTTCCTTGAGGCAGGCCTCATAGTTTGCAATCTCTGCCTCCACACACTTCAGCAGCGCCAGCAACTCCTGCCAAAATCCCGCAGTGCAGCCCTGAGGGGGGCTGGCCAACACCCCAGTCCCCCCACCAGGAAGCAGCTGGAGGCAAGGACGAGCAGCCAGTGTCCACAGAACCTACCAAGGCCCCGGCAGCGCCCCAACCCAGACAGGCTTCCTGGCGCCTGGCTTCCGCCACCCATGTTTACGCCAGAACCCGCAGGCCCCAGCCCCTGGGCAGCAGTGCCTCAGGCTCCCCCCTCCGGCCAGATTAGAAGAGCAAGCCGCAAAGGGACTCACCTTGGGAGAGTACTTCTCTCCGCTCAAGGGCTCACCGGGCCTGGCCAAGCCAGGCTTCTCTCTGCTGTCCACAGCCTCCGCTACCTCCTTCTCTTCCGGGCTGCTGGACCCCTGGCTGCCTTGGCTCGGTCTGCTGCAGGGTGAGGAGCCCTTCCCACCCTCTGGGAAGAGAAGGCACGAGAAGACCCCTCAGAGCGCAGGCCAGGCGGTCACTTGGCCACCCGCCTCTCCCCCAGTGCCCCAAGCGGCCAGTGAGCCAGGCCCGGGCGCACCTGTCAGTGCCAGGGGGCTCAGCACCCCGTCCTCAGCCAGGTGCAGCAGGCCCGTGCTGACAAGAGGACCCAGGTCGCGTACAGCGCGATTGTAGCGGATGCAGTCAACACGCAGCAGGCTGTCATCCTCTCCAAAAAGCACCTTGGAGATGTGGGAGGTGACTGGGCTGGAGGGCCGCGTTGGGTTGGCTGAGCGAATGGGCGACCGCAGCGGCGAGTTGAAAGCACTGCCGATCTCAGAGGCCGTGTCCGTGCTCTCGTTGCTGGGGGTGGGCGAGGGCTGTGAGTGTGTGGGGACTGCCACGGCTGGGCTGGCTGCCCCGCTGCTCGTCTTGATGGACAGAGGAATCGAGAGGTCTTTCTGGGACTCTTTGAGCTTCTCGGCCAAGACGTTGATGGTGTTGGGCTGCAGCACTGACAGCTGCCCGTCCCCAGAGCCACTCAGAGGCCCCGGCTTCCCTGGCCCCTTTCGCTTGTACCTGGGGGTGGGGGGGCCAAGGAGCGGTGAGCCAAGGGGAGGGGCCGGGTGACCCCGCCCAGCAGTGCCCAGAACAGCCCCGGACACATCCTGGCCCCCAGGGACGGATGCTGCGGCTCCTTGCACTGGGCCCAGCAGCCTGACCTGGCCGTGCTGAGCCTGGCACCCTAAGCTCCAAAAGCCATAGCCACGTGCTCTCGAAGGCCACCTCTACTCCAGCCGCCTCACTCTGGCCTTCTGACAATGCCGTGCCCTCTGACAGGGCTGCACCCCGCCCCATCTCCTCCATCCCAATCCTTTGAGGCCTAGCCGAAAGGCCACCTCCCAACAGGACAGGCCTTGTTATCTGGTTAAATGTCTTCAACACTCCCCCAAGGCCTCCTGGAGTCTTGGGGACCAGGGATCTGGAGTCAGCCCCAGCAGGCCAGCCTCCCACAGGTGCTCAGTGTTACACCCTTCGGGCAACCTCAGACATGGGTTGGAACAGTCAAGATAGGATCTGCAGCACTCAAGCCTCTAGCCTTCCAGAGCTGGGGCTGACCTGATGGCAGAGTTGGTGTTCTGCACGTCGTCGTCCTCATCATCCTCATAGTCGTCCTCGTCGTCGGAGTACTGCTGGGGGGGGCGGACTGGAACTCGGCTGCGGCCCACACCTGCTGCCAGGTCTTCCTCCTCCTGAGGCAGAGACCAAGGGCAGCCATAAGCAGGGACCAGTCAGCCCCGGCTGGACACAGCACTCACAGCCAGAAAACCAACACGGCTCTCCAGGTCGAGTCCACTGAACCCCAGGTGTTCCGAGCCCACCCGTGACTCCTGGGGAGGCTGCTGCCCACCCAAAGACAAACTGAGCACCCTGAAACATGTGCCTTTATTTTGCCAGCAAAACCTAACTCATCGAGTGGTACCAGGAACATGCCCTAAACATCCTGCCCCACTGCTATGTGAGTGGACTGAAAGTTGGGAGTTCTCTCTGCCTCTCTAAGCTCCTGTGGGGGCTTCTGGGTAGCAGAGAGACTTGGCCACCTAGGTGGTATAGGATGAACACCAAGGAACCACCTAAGGAAACGGCTTGTTGCAGCCTCTCAAGAAAGTACTGGAGGGGCTTGGGCAAGGGTGCTCCCAGCTCACCTGCATGGGGGACTTGGCATAGTTGTGATTGTCCAGAAAGGCTGGCAGCCGCTGAACAATGGGAGTAGGGTTGGGAGGAACCCCGTTGAGGCTGCTCCCGGGAGGCTTCACCACCAGCTTGGGTTTGCTGGGAGGGCTGTGGGTTGGGGCTTGGGGGCATGAACCAGCCACCTCCTCCACACCATCTGAGAGGACAAGGAGCACAGGCAGGACCTTCAGCCAGATCCCCAAGAAAACCTGTCCCAGCCCACCATCTCCCCAGACATAGCACTGCTCCCTCCTCCCTTGCCAGAGAAGAACAGATGCACTAGCTAACGGGATGAGAGCCCGCGAGCTCTAGGTCATGGGCCCATAGCAAGACGAAGAATGAGATGGAAAAAGGGAGGGAGGGAGACAGAAGGAGAAAAAAAGAAAAGCCTCTTAAGAAAACTAAAAAGGGAGTATCTATTATAGAGAAGGT